CTTGGGGCACTCCACTCGTTACAGGCCTCCTAGTTACAGGGTGTGGGGAAGAGAGAGGATGAGGCTGCTTCTTCGGGTGGGAGCATTGGGTTAACGAGCCTGCGGGTGACGACAGGCTAAGACACAGATAAAAACAAAATTATTGAAGGACAAGTTAAATGACCAAGAGGAGTTTGCTCCAAATCACCTCCCTGATGCAGGCAACTCGATCTCAAGCCAGCCTGTTGGAAATGGGAAAAACCAGAGGGTTTCACTCACCTGGATGAGGGACACGGTGCCATCAGGATTACTGAAGGTTTGTACCACCGTCTGTGACGGCACCAGATGCGCTATACTGTGTGTGGTGGTGGTCTGCTGCTGTGTCTGCTGGTCCTCGAAGGCGTAGAGCAGGTCTTCACGCCCGTGCTGCTTGTAGCAGTTCTTCACGATGGTCCGCAACGCTTGGGTCCATGACACCTACCAGGAGAATCAAAAAGAGTGAAGAGTCAGCGTGATTTTTTTCTGAACCACTGCACCGCTGCTACAGCTGTGATTTGTGTCTTTACTGGGGTTTATTGGGTGGTTTTTAACTGCTTCTCAAGCAAACCAAAGGCCTCAATACCTAATCCCTCTCTCCTCATCCCCTCCTTTCCTCAACACTCAGAAACCACCCCGAAGAGCTATTGCGTTTCTGTGTACTGACACAGAACGAGCACATCTGGCCAAGGGAAAGGGAAGTGTCCCAGTGAAATCCGTACTGGGCACTGGTGAGGCTGTACCTTGAATCCTGTGTTCAGTTTTGGGCCCCTCACTACAAAAAGGACATTGAGGGGCTGGAGCGTGGCCAGAGAAGGGCAATAGAGCTGCTAAAGTGTTTCGAGCACAAGAATTATGAGGAGTGGCTGAGGGAGCTGGGGTTGTTTAGTTTGGAGGAGACTGAGGGGAGACCTTATTGCTCTCTACAGCTCCTGAAAGGAGCGGGTAGAGAGGTGGGTGTTGGTCTCTTCTTCCATGTAACCAGTGACAGGACAAGGGGAAATGGCCTCAAGTTGTGCCAGGGAACGTTTAGGTTGGATATTACAAGAAATTTCTTTACTGAAAGGGTTGTCAAGCACTGGAAGAGGCTGCCCAGGGAGGTGGTGGAGTCCTCATCCCTGGAGGTGTTTAAAAGATGAGGAGATGTCGTGCTCAGTGACATGGTCTAGTGGTGGACTTAGGGCTGGTTCAGTGGTTGGACTGGATGATCTTAAAGGTCTTTTCCAACCAAAACCAGGGCAACAAGTAGAAAACCATACCTACCTTGGAAAGCACTCACTGTCACAGCACCATATTTAGCCTTGGTAGGCATCCCTCCCCACCCATCCAGACCTACATCAGCCTGCACAAGTCCTGCCCCTTGCACACCCTGGGAGCTTTCTGTGATTATCTTTGTGACTGGTTGGTAGAAACATCATCTGCATACAAGATCCATGGCCATAACTGATGCCCAAGACCTTTTCACTCAGTTGTCTCATTTTTTCCTGGCTCTGTTGCACATCCTTGACCGCTTCCCTTTAAGTGCAAAGGTCTCTGCAGCTCAGGATGGGACATGACACAGGCTTTGCAGTAAATGACTTGCATACTTGGAAAGTAGATTTGTCTTAGGCTGGGTATGCTGCTTTATAAGCATAGATTTAGATTGGATATTAGGAAAAGTGGTCAAGCACTGGAAGGGGCTGCCCAGGGAGGTGGTGGAGTCCCCATCCCTGGAGGGGTTCAAGAAGTGCATGGATGTGGCACTTGGGGACATGGTTTGGTGGCCATGGTGGGGGTGGGTTGAGGGTTGGACTTGATGATCTGAGACATCTCTTCCAACCTCAATGATTCTGTGATAAGGCCAAAGAGATGAGCAGGTTCTGCAGCACCCACTGCAGAAAGAGATGTGGTTCAAATACCGGCTCATCACACAGCCCCAGCAGGGACAGAGGAGGTTGAATCATCTCAGGCTGAATATCTGACACGAAGCCACGGAAGGGCCAATGCCATAGCTTCTTCCATCACTTGAGGGTAAAACTACTCCCACAAAAACTGGTCACAAGCCCCTGCGCTCAGTTTAAAGCAGACAGACAGGGATATACACACCCGCTGCTTCTGTTCCTCTGTGCGGACGTCGCTGCGGACGTTGGCCCAGGGGATGTCCTCAGGCCACCAGATGGGCTTGCAGCTTTCCTTGCCCCAGCCTGGTTTCCCGCGACCTGTGGAATACTTCAGCATCTCGGGGATGAAAGCTCGCAGTTGTGCCTGGAACAAACCACATTAAAAGAGTTGAGAGCTTTATAGGAATCCACATCTCTGGTAGTTTCGAGGTGCACAGTACAGAGTTATTACATTTAACTTTTGTCCTGTTGGAACCATCAACTGGAAGAGGCCTGAATGCCTAAGGAAGATGGAAAAATACTTCACCATCTTCTCCCAAGACTCAGCTGAGAACAACTTAGGAGCGTGTGGAAGAGCAGAGACAAAATTAAATCAGCCAATGACACCAGTAAGGCACAGATGCACATTGTATTAAGACACTTCATCGTTCAAACGCTACCATGAAGCCAATTGGAAAGGGAGAAAAAAGTCAGAATTAAGCAGAAAAAACCTAGACTCAATGTCCCCACAGCGACAGGAACTCAGACGTGAGCTGATGTGCATTTTACAGAGATGCTGCAAAGAGGATGGAGCTTCAGTGAACCGAATGTAAGAACACAAACCCACACATCCACTTCTCCACCCCTGATGAACATAACACACACTGGACTGATTTTCTGAATTTTGTTTTAAATTCTGCCAGAGTGGGGACACCTTTCAACCTGATATCACACCTTAGGACCCACAAAATCATCCTCTACAACTCCTGAGGTGGGTGTTGGCCTCTTCTCTCAAGTAACAAGCAATAGGACGAGAGGAAATGGCCTTAAGTTGCACCCTGGGAGGTTTAGATTGGATATTAGGAATAATTTCTTCAATGAAAGAGTTACCAGGCACTGGAAGAGGCTGCCCAGGGAAGTGGTGGAGTCCCCATCCCTGAAGGGATTTAAAAGATGGGTAGATGAGGTACTTTAGAGACACAGTTTAGTACTGGACAAGGTTATGGTTGGACTCAGTGATCTTAAAGGTCTTTTCCAACCAAATGACTCTATTAAAACTGGTCAACTGGGGCCTGCCTTTCACCATCAGCAGCCAACACCTTAAGAACAGATTCACAAAGCAAATCGAGCAGATACATCTCCCAGAGCAAGCAATATCCTTAGCGTTACCAAAGAAGAGACAAAACTCACACGGGGTTTTGTGGCACATCACAGAATCACAGAATATTGGGAGTTGGAAGGGACCTGGAAAGCTCCCCCAGCCCAACCCCTGCCACAGCAGGATCACCAGAGCAGTCACACAGGAACACCTCAGGGCTTTGGGTGTCTCCAGAGAAGGAGACTCCACAACCTCTCTGGGCAGCCTGGGCCATGCTCTGCACCCTCACACTCACAAAGTTTGTCCTTACGTGCAGAAAAACATTTGGGTTTTGTACCAGGGATTGCCTGGAGCCTCAGGAAAAGGCTGGTTCAGTCGCGGGAAGACAAA